CTCCAAGCGGGGATCCCCGTCCCCGTCCCCGGGACCCGATTTTTCGGGGAATCCCCGTCCCCGATCGGGGCGGGTGGACCGGGTTACCCGACGGGTCGGGGTCCATTACCATCCCTATTTTTGACCTTTAACATGTTGAGCCGGTAAGAACCTCTAAGTTACATTTTCAAGACAAATAAAACTAAAAACTCGTTAAGAAAAAATTGGATTTATTGGACTTAAAAAATGTTTAAGTGTTTTTATAAAATCTATTTTTTATGTTTTATTATCAACTTTTATTCAATTTTAAGATGGTAAAAATATACAATAAATAGTTTAATATTATAAAACCGTGCTAACAATTAGAAAAAATTACAACCACAAGAATGGTACCTGATTGGTTTAAGCTTGACTCAAAAGGTCAAAAGTGTCTGGAGGTCTCAGTTTCAAATCCAAGGAGGTATAAAAATCCTTTTGTGGCCACAGAAGTTCAAATCCAGTGATTCCGAGCTACCCTTAAAACAGGAGGGCACCGGGGATTAGTCGGCTCGCATAGCGGGTTGGATATACAGGTTAATAAAAAAAATTACGATACAATTAGAAATTAAAAACTCTTGTTTTCATCAATAAGCATAGTCTTAATTATATATTGATTAAGAAACTTGATTTTTAATTGTTTGTTTATGTATTGTCGACACGTAAATGATGTTATATATATAAACAAGATTAATTAATTATTGTAAATATTCAAAACGTAATGTTCAGAAAAACATTTTTAGATTAAATTAATGCAATTAATTATTTTCATAAGCAAGTTGCATGTGTGATATCAAACATTAGCGTTTTTAGCTCTAATTTTGCACGTGTCATGTCTATCCAAATCTTTCACCACTATAACAAAAAAGGGATGTTATAATGGGTTTGTAACACGTAAAAAATATCATAAATGGTCTTTGGTCTAACAGTATCTGAGTGTTTTGCCTCTTAAAAGGTCATGGATTCAAACCTCACTAATGATGAGGAAGGTGTGTAAGTTTATTTGTTGCATTTGTTGTATATAAAATATATTATATACTTCAAAAAAATATCATATTAGATTATTTTATAAGTACATAGAATGTTTTTAGACGTTTTAACAAATTTTTAAGTCACTTTTGAAATAAAACGTCTTATTAAGTTTTTTATATAACATGCATTATTTGAAAAAATCGTCTTATAAAACCAAAAGTCTTATTTACATGATATTATTTGAATAAGATACATAAAAACAAGAGTCCTGTTAAAAAAAAAGGATTGCTATTTTTACCCTTCCTCACTCTCATGTAGACTTAGGTGGCGTTTGTTTTTTAAGAGGTGCTGAAGTCTGAAGTCTGAAGTCTGAAGTCTGATTTCACTTCTGATTTTTAAGAGGTGGTGTTGAAGTCTGAAATCTGAATCAGTCAGATTGTTTGTTTTTGTAAACTGACAACGTCTGAAGTCTGAAATCTGAATCAATAGTTTGCTTTTGTAACCAACAAAACATATCAATATGTGTAATTTATGATTTCACTTCTGTTTGTGTTTCCAAGATTCCTTAATTCTTCCTTCTCCTCCAGATCAAGCCTTCCATCCTCAATCTCCACCCTCATCCCACCATCATCAACCACCGTCCACCACCACTCCTTCTCTAAAATCCAACGTCCAAATCCACCTCTAAAATCAAAGCAAATATCCATCATGATGAAAACTACAGTGACGAAAACTACAGGGACAAAAATACCTTGATTCACGAGGATAAAAGGTGCACAACTACTGGTTTGCACATGAACGAAAACACACAGTAGCGAAAACCCACAGGGAAG